CGCGGCTGGGAGGGCGGGCGGCGGGGGCGGCGCGCCGGGTCCCGGGGGCGCTGACCGGGCCTTTCTTCTCTCCCCTCGGCGCAGACCTCTCGCTGCTCCAGGAGGACCTGCAGGAGGACGCGGACGGATGTGAGTGCGCCCGCCTCGCTGTCGCGGCTCCGGCGGCCCGCGGGGAGCGGCCGGGAAGGAAGGGAGGGCGGCGGCGGCCTGGGCCGGGCCGGCAGAGATGGGGCTCGGCGAGGCGTGGCCCTGGGCCGGTCGGGGCCGCGAGCTGGAGGGAGCATTGCGCTTCGGGGAGGGAACGGCTCGCCCGGGTGGACGGGCGACAAGAGATGCCCTGTCTGACGCCCGAGGCCGGGCTCTGCCGCGTCTCCCACTCTCGCATCACCCCCTCCGGGCGGCTGTGGGCTCGGGGGCCGCTCGGCGTCTGTTTCGGGAGGAGAAAGTGGCAGGGCCGAAATGTGAAATGGTCATTTGGGGTGTGCTTGTTCCCGGTGGGGGCCCTCCGCGGACCCCCACCCCTGCCTCCCCCCAGGAAGGAAGAGGCTGGGAGAAGGAAGGTGTGTTTTCTTACAGTTGCTCGCTCGTATCACTCGGTGGCCAGCTGTAGGGGAGCCTGGTCCCCCTTCCACCGCCTCGGTTCAGTTGCCTGGGCTCTGTGTGGAGACTACATACCTGTAATTTCCCTTTAGCTTCGAGCAGTTTTTAGATTGCCTCGACACCCCCCGCCCCCGTGATTTGTGGATTACGGGAAGGTTAGAAGGTGTGGCCTTAGCAGGAGTTACTAGGTTTAGAGAGCTTATTTCTTTAATGCAAATGTTCGCGAATCACCCAGATCTCCCTAAGTATTACAATTTCAGCTTTTCTGTGAGAAAGGGATGTTTTAAAAGGGTCGATCTTTTGTTTAAAAAAGCAAAAAAGGAAAAAAAAAAACAACCTTCACATTGTCTCCAGAATAGTGTCAGGAAGGAACTGATATTTACAAGGGAATTTGTTTATTTCGTGTGTGCTTTTCTAAGCATCAGAAGACAATTTGGAAATTGTTCTGCGTTGAAACGATAACCATGGTAGAATTTGTGGTGTATTTAGGGGAAAGCCTGCCTGATGCTGAGATTTACTGTGGCTAATACCTAGGTAAGTAATTCAGAGATGGCTGCAGTCTGAAATTGCTCTTTTAAATATTGTGTAGTTAATCCTTAGCATTGTCTAATGTGGTTTCCGTTGGCCAAATTAAGCTTTTTAAATTCCTAGGTGTTTGAAGTAAGGGGGAATTTACTATTCAGAAGGGTTCTCTAAAAAGAGTAATTGTTTTTGAAGCAAATGAACCATATGCAAAATTAACTTTTGCTAACTTTGGGTTGTTTTTTTAAGTAAAAAAACTCTCTTAAAGAGAGCAGTACTAATGTAGTGAAGGCCAGTTTTTACATTTCACCTGATGTTTTATGTTATGCCTGCTAGTAAGAAGTTTCAAATGGTTATTCAAGGCAGCCATTGATTGCTTGCAAAGTTAGGGTTGGAAAGGTGGCTCTGATTGTTATCTCAAACAGGGGCTTCTCATTCCCCTAATTAGGTTCAAGACTTTATAAATAGAAGACGCGTCATTCAGCAGGTGTTTAGGAATGTGTGGAGCAAGAACTTCTGTCTATTCATTTATTTTCACTGAGGTGCCCTGCACTTAAAGGATGAGCTGTAGTGTCGGTTTCCTCATTGACCCTAAAGGAGTGCAGTCTAGAGGGGAAAGCACACCTGTGAAGAACTCAACAATGATTTATTCATGAGCCTCAAGACTTCTGTGTACTGAGGCTATAGCTCTGCAAAGGATGGTCACAATCTATGCCCTCTAGTGGCTTACCAGCAGTTTTAATATAAGTGTGGTAATGAAGATATCAGAGGCAATGTACCACCGTAGTTAATAGACAACACTCTGAAGTCAGATTGTTTTGTTCCAGTTTGGGTATCGTCACTCCTACAACTCACTTAAGCTCCGTATGCTTAAGTTTTGTCATTTGCAGATAGTTATAGTAGGTATTGTCTATTTAGAGTTGTTTAGAGCCTTATATAAATGAATGCACATAAAGCACTTAAAACAGTACTTGGTAAATAGTGACTGTTATGTGGTGGTTATGAGTGAAGAGGAAGGGAAGCTTAAAAGAAAGAGCAGAGAAGGAAATACTGATGTTGAACTTTACAGAATTAATATAATTATAGATGCTGCTAATGCTTGCAATTAACTTATTAAAGGTTCTGTTAGTTCCCAGTGAGTTTTAGTTTAGGATAAAACACAGACATCTGAAGGCATAAGTAGTTTATTTGCATATTCATAAGTTGGTTGAAGACTTTGTTAGAATAATTTTTTTTTTCAGTTGCTAAGGTCTTTTCAAGTGATACCTTTACCCGGAATATTTAGGAACAAAGCATCTTTGAACATGTGGCCAGTTGAAGGACCAATTGCTGTCTACTGTGAAGGGAGAAAGAATGAGGGTCAAATCTGGCTGTGGTGCCTAGGTCAAAGGTAAGGGAAATGGGAGAAAGCTTGTCACATCCTGGAGAAGAAGAATGTAGAGAAGGTAGAGGACCAGAGATGTTAGAATAGAGCTTGGGCTACCGTTACAACTGGAACGTATCGTATGAGCCTGATTTTCTGTCTCAAGCAATCCTGGTATGGAGGCCTGCTTCGGCAGTAGTTGTGTGCCAGGTCCTGCTGCTTCAGGCAAGCTAGGTCTAAGTCAGCCCTTGTGATGAGAAGAAATCACTTTCTGGCCAAACTCTAGAATCTTGGTTGTCTTTCCTAAATGCAGAAGCTAGACTCCGAAGAGAGTAAATACGGTAGCACAGGTGCTCTGCAGCTATGAAGACTAGGAGGGGATGGGTGGGGTCCGGGTCTTGAAGTGGGGGCACATTGCCAGACCATGATAAGAGTCTCAGGTCTTTTGTGTTGATTTGTTTTAAGCCCCAAAGTCTCTGTACAGAGCCTATAGAAAAGTGGGTAGAATGGGAAAAGCATTGGTCAAAGACTGACTTGGCTGATACCCTTGAGAAAAAGAAATGAAATCCTAGTATGTGAAAAATGGTGCATTGTATGTACAGAGCAGAAGGTCCTCAAGGTAAGTAAATGAAATGATTAGGTGCTGTTAAGTTTGTTTTAGGTTAAAAGTGGTATTTTCCATACTGTATCGTGAAACATCCTCTGAATTTCAAAATGAAAGCAAGCCAGTGACACCCATTTGAATAGGTATCTCAGCAGAGTGACTTCAGAGTCGGGAAAACCCTTTCTGTTTCTTGAATAATGGGAGGCAATGCAAAATTACAGGTAGACTTTCATAGAGATTTTACATTTCTATTATCAGTTTTCTGAAGATGCGGTTTTGATATACATTTCAGTTGCTAGATTTCTAAAACAGGTGAGATAGGGCCTATAGTAATCTTCCAGTAAGATTGGGTGGGTTAGCCTTCTTAAACAGATTCTTCTTCACAGCACTCCCGTGAGATGCAGGCTGTGGTATTATGATATTAATAAATGAGTCAGCTGACATGCAAGAGACTAAATTATTTTGTCAGGAAATGGAAACTCCGTAACTACCAGCCAGAATTTTAAGCTAGGCCTTCTGATTCTAAATACTGTATTGGAAATAATGTCTTTTCTTAAATCGCTTAGTTTACAACATTGAGCAGCCCAAGCCTGTTGTATGGGCAATTTGTTTGAACCCATGCTTAAAATACCCTTGAGGATTAGTCCAGCATGCTGCATGTGGTTTGGTTTAACCAAGAGGTCATTTGGATGAAGCTTGGGTGTAGTATAATTTAGTCTTTATGTTAACTTTTCTTTCAGCTGTAACTAGCATGATGTCGAAGAGCCTTTGGAGCTATATATGCCATACCACAGAATTGTTCGTATCTGAAGAAGTTTTGGAAATCTTTCACACTATATTGTTTTTCAGGTTTGAGGGCACTGTTGAATTAGAGTGAATTAAGGATGGATCCGGAACTAAACTGTACTTCTTTCAAAGAGTCCCTGGGCCCTCAGACTACTTTTGAAAACTAATTTTGATAAGATTCTAAAGTCCTTGCCATCTTAGGGAAGTAAGGAGTAAAAAGTTGGGGCTGTGTGTAGTAGTGGCTGGGGGATGAATTAAAAAACTGTAGAAAGGTGCCCTTGAAAGTCATGATATTTAGGGCGCCTGGGTGGCTCAGTTGGTTCAACGACTGCCTTCGGCTCAGGTCATGATCCTGGAGTCCCGGGATCGAGTCCCGCATCGGGCTCCCTGCTCGGCAGGGAGTCTGCTTCTCCATTTGACCATCTTCCCTCTCGTGCTCTCCGTCTCTCATTCTCTCTCTCCCAAATAAATAAATAAAATCTTTAAAAAAAAAAAAAGAAAGTCATGATATTTAGAAGTGTTGTTAAATGGGGATTTGGAAGAGTGAGTCTTGAGACTTGAAAGCATATTTTGATTGCTACCAACAAGACTGGACAGGAAAAATCTTTATTTAAAGATAATATAATTAATATCCTAGAAAAGCATGCTTAAAAATTGTTTTAGTGGTACCCACATGTGTATAGAATCAGTTAATGATGTGTTGGGTAACAATTCTCTACAGAATTTTTTTTTTTTTTTTTTTTAAGAAGGGAAAACCCTTTCTGAATATGCGTGTCAGCTGCCTGGGCTTGTAGCTGCATGACGTGGGGGAAAAAAAAACCCATAGGTTTTTGTTTGCTCTTTCCACCTATGAAAGACAAATAGCCCTTGCTAGATAAAGTTCATTAGTCTGCCACATTTGTTTGATCACTGGTTTATCTGGTCTTTTTGCCTCAGTTCCTCCTCTCGTCAAAACAATTTTATATTTTAGAATACTCTGTCTTATATTTTGGAATTTGGGATTTTTCTCTCTTGATGGCAAAGAATTTTTGCCATCAGCTACATGATAGGGTGAGCAGTCCCTGGGCTAGAATTAAAGTGTTACTTTGCATTTAACTTGGATCTGAAAATAAACCTAATTTAATGTTTTGGGAGGAGGAGGTGGTGGCGCTCCTATGGAATTTGGGCTAAGGAGGTTAAAGGGCCTGTATTCCCTTAAGTTCCGAAAAGGGCACTTTTGCACCTATCATTCAGCTGGCAGATCACCTAAGGTCCCCTTTCTCCAGATCCATCCTTTGATCCTCTTAACTGTTCAGTCAAGTGTTGGCCTGCTTGATGTCAGGTTGGTGTTTGAGCATTTATCATGCTGTAATTCTGGAACACATCTCAGTGTAGTTCCTTTTTATTTATTTATTTACTTGAGAGAGAGTGTGTGTACACAAGTGGGCGGAGGGGGAGAGGGAGAAACAGACTCCCCACTGAACAGGGAGCCCCCACTGTGCTGCTCTATCCCAGGATCCTGGGATCACAACCTGAGCCGAAGGCAGACTCTTAACCGACTGAGCCGCCCAGGAGCCCCAATCCCAGTATAGTTCTGTGCAGAGGAAAGAGCACTTGGTTTTGTAAACATTAGGCCTGCATTCAGATTCTGGCCCTTGCTGTTTATTCATTTATTATCTTGAGCAAAGTACTTCGTTTTTCTCAGCTGTTCTCTGTCCTTAAAATGTTGATGGACTTTAGGGGATGATTCCA